TTTTGGACCTTTGTGTACTTTAAATTGCTTTCTGAGACTGGCATAGCTCCTATTGTTCACTTTCTTTTACCTAATAACTCATGTTCTTTCTCATAACCTTCAGAAACTCCAAATCTTTTGTAGTGTGAAGCCCTTCAGTAGCGTAAACCGTACATGTGAAATGCACTGAACAGCCGTCTGGGTGTTTGCAGTTGGTAAAGCTACAGTTGACCATGAATGTCATCAGAGATCTGAGAAGGATAAGTTTGAGTAAGAAGCATAATTTATATGGTTCTTGTATCAATTAAAATGACAGAAACTTACTTAGACTGTTGTTTGAGGCTTATGTTCTTTGGGGACAGAAGCAGTTGGTCTGTGGCCGTCAGACAAGACATAATAAATGCCAGACATTTATTCTTCAGTTGTTACGAGGAGCAGCGGGCCTTTAACTGTCAAACCCAGGTCTGAATTTTTCCTATAGAGGAAGAACTTGAGAAAACTGACCTGAGTTTGACCAAGTAGAATACCCCAGTCAACCCAAAAGTGTCCAAAGTTTGTGCAGGTTCCTGGTGACAGGTGAGGCATGGGACAGTTTGGATCAGTGGTTAGTGTTACCACAGTCCAGGTGGCATCATAGGGGCAGTGTCCCATCTGTCTTCCTTAGAGACCTTAGAAAAAATTTTAAGGGGTGGGGGGTCTGCCTGTATTGTGGCAAGTTTTTTTTTCTTAAATGCCATATAAAGCAGATAGATCTCTGAGGAGTTTGAGGACCAAGTATCCATTAAACATGCCTGATTTTAAGTTTGACCTTAAAAACATGTACAGGAAGCTAAATAAGGTTATGTCTACAATTAATCATGATTATTCATATAGTTTTGAACATATTAAAGAATTTGATTATTCATAAGCTGACTATTAATTTGCATGTGTTAATTATCTTTAATGGTTCATAATAAGTTAGTAGATTTTATAAGATTGGGATTTTTATAGCTTTGCTCCTTTAAGTTTGAGCTTTAAAATTTAAGTTGAAGAGTTAATTAAAGATCCTTTAACAACAAAATAAACCATAAATGTAGTAAACCATTTTTTTGGGGGTTCCAAGACAAGGTTTCTCTGTGTAGACCCAGGTGTCCTGAAACTCACTCTGTAGACCCAGCTGGCCTCTAACTCACAAAGACCATCTTGCCTCTGCCTCCTGAGTGCTGTAATTAAAGGTGTGCACCACCACCGCCTGGCATAAACCATTTTTAATAGTGTATCATTATAGACTTTTTGTATGACTCAGTTTACCTGAATAGCTAAACTTCAACAAAGTGGCAAAGACAAGGAAGCTAGACAAACATTACTATGAATCTGGGTAGATTTTAGGAATTTATAAACCTTATTTATCAAATATACTTTATCAAACATATGTTTTTATTTATCTAAATTTTCTTTAGAAGCCTGGTGTTGAAGAGTTAGTAAAGACATAAATAAGTAGTTAGGTATACATCTCTAAATCAGCTTTTGTTAATCTGAGTAGACTGCATTAACCTTAAAATTTTATCATCATGTAAAACATATTTTAAACTAGAGTTGAATCATATATATATATGTATATATATACAGCAAATATAATTTTAGTAACATACAAATCTATACCAATCCAAAATATTTTGGAGACTTCTTAATGCTTTTTTAGCCTAAAAGGGAGATAAACTAAGGGCTCATTAGGACTGAGAAGTTTTATAATTGTTGTTTAATGCATGTGATCATCTTAAGATGGTGAAGTCACATGGCATATATCCTTTAACCTTGGTAAAGATGACTTTCAGTAATGTGATTGCTTCCATCTTGATGAGGTCATCAGCCAAGATGGAGGACAGCCACACGGGCTGTTATTTAAAACATCTATTTTTTTTTTAATCCAGGAAGTGGTAGCACACGCCTTTAATACCAGCACTTGGGAGACAGCAGCAGGTGGATCTCTGTGAGTTCAGGGCCAGCCTGGTCTACAGAGCGAGTTCTGGGATAGGCTCCAAAGCTAGAGAAGCCCTGTCTCAAAAAACCAAAAACATCTATTTTAAAAAATGAGTCGAATCTAAGTAACATATATAGTGTGCTGTAGTAAATTAAGATTAGCTATTTGTGGTGGTTTGAAAGAAAATGCCCCCCAAAGGGAGTGGTGTTATAAGGAAGTGTGCCTTTGTTAAAGCAGGTATGGTCTTGTTGCAGGAAGTGTGTCACTGAGGAGGTGGGTTTGAGGTGTCATATATGCTCAAGCTACCCCCACTACCTACGTTCACTTCCTGTTACCTTTACATAAAGATGTAGAACTCTCAGCTCCTTTTCCAGCACCATGTCTGCCTGCATGCTGCCTTGCTTCCCACCATGATGACAATGTACTAAACCTCTGAACTATAATCGAGCCACTTCAAATAAATGTTCTCCTTTATAAGAGTCACCATAGTCATGGTGTCTCTTCACAGCAACAGAAACCCTAACTGAGACAGAAGTTGGTGCCAGGGACTGGGGTATTGCTATGATAGGCATGACCATGTTTTGATTTGGAGGAATTTGGACTTTGTGAGTTTGGGTTAGGAAAGTGGTGGAATGCTTTAAGCACTGTTTAAAGGGCCATAGTAGTTGGACCATGGAAGACAATGGTGCAGAGAATGATTTGAACTGGGGGGGGGGTGCTGGGGGATAGCTCAAGAGTTTTCAGAGAAGAATTTTGATATGTTGCCTAGAGATCATTCTTGTGATATTTTGGTGAAGTGACTATTTTTTGCCCTTGCCTGAAGAGTCTGCCTGAGGCTAAAGTGAAGAGATTTGTAATAATTCCATTGGCAGAGGAAATCTTAAATTAGCCTAGTATAGACTCTGTCATGTGGTTACTAGTGTTCACCCTTATAAAAATTTATAATGAAAAGAAGAAAGCTGAGCAGGACAAATACAAAATGTACAGACTGAAGAGAAAAGGACGCCAGGAAGTAGAATGGAGTTTAACTAACCCTGTGCTCAAGGAGGTAAACAGATTAAGAAATGGAATAAAAGTAGTGGTGACCTCAGGGCAAGATCCCATGCAGCTAAATTTTCTACTTATGAAAAAGGAATTAAAGAAAAGCTTATAACTGGGTGTGGTGGTGCACGCCTTTAATCCCAGCACTCTGATGGCAGAGGCTGGTGGATTTTTGAATTTGAGGCCAGCCTAGTTTATAGAGCTAGTCCTAGAATGGCCAAGTCTAAGCAGTGAAGGAAAGTATCAAAAGCAGAAAGCTGGTGAAGATGTAGTTGAGCAAACGGTCATGTTTCAACCCCAGTAAGCAACAGAACTTGACTGTTTCAGCCACATGGCTCTGGCTTTAGAGTCAAGGATAGAAGAAAGTGGTTATGGAATTTGCCTTCATGACTAAGCCATTGTGGCCAGGCATGTGTCAGGAGTGTCCCTGAATGGAGACCCAGAGAGGCCATTGTGTGAAGCTGTGAAGGAGACGCTTGAATTGCCTTGGAGACCCCAAGATGTTGGAGATCCCAGAGTCAGAAGATACCTGCCAAGGAGAGCTGCTAACAGGGAGTGGAAACAGCCCAAGAGAAAGAAGTGTGTTACAGTCAACAAAGATGAAATGAGTTGAAGATCTGAAGAGTGCTTTGACATCACACATGGAGATGCAGAGTTTGGAGTTTGCCCAGCTGGTTTTTAATATTTATTTGGTCCAGTATTTCCTCACTATGCTCCTTTCCTTATGCTTTGGAATGACAATGCATATCCTGTGCCATTATGTTGGAAGTATGTAATCTGCCTTTTGATTTTGATTTTACAGGGGATTACAGTTAAGAGATTGCATGACTCTCAGAAGAGACTTTGAACTTCAGATTTTTAAATAAGTTTGAGACTGTTATAGACTATGGGGACTTCCAAAGTTGTACTGAATGCATTGCTGCATTATGATACAGCCTTTGGGGGCCAGGGAGTGGAATGTGGTGGCTTGAAAGAAAATGGTCCCCAAAGGGAGTGGCGCTATTAAGAGGTGTGGCTTTGTTGAAGTAGGTAAGACATTGTTGGAGGAAGTATGTCATTGTGAAGGTGGATTTTGAGGTCTCATAAATGCCCAAGCCATACCCAGTATCTCAGTTCACTTCCTGTTGCCTGCCAATCAAGATGTAGGACACCATGTCTAAAGGATGCCACCATGTCCCACCAAGGTGATAATGGGCTAAACCTCTGAAATGGTTAGGTTACCCCATTAAATGTTTCCTTTATGAGAATTGCTGTGGTCATGGTGTCTCTTCATAACAATAGAAACACTAACAAAGACACTATGTGTAGATTTTTGACCATCACTCCTCATGCTATAAGTTTTAAGTTAACTTTTTGATATAGGTTTCACATATCTTTAACTATACCTAGTAAACTTTTAAATCTTAGGTACAGATACATGACAGTCTTATAAATCTTGAGATAAGATTTATACTTTCGCAAACTTTTTAGAGAATTAAGCCAAAGCCAAAGTGTATGAGATGAGTAGCAATAGTCCCCATTGGGAACAACTTATCCCTTTGTCTTGTTTTGTTTTCCTTTCTCTGTCACATGGTCAGGTAGCCTGCCTGACAAGGGATAGAGATTTTGGAGGAAACCTTTAAACAAACATGCTTGGGACTGGAGGAGGGGAAACCATAACCCAACTCTAGAGCCAGCTTTTCATTGAAGCAGAGCAGCAGTGTTATTGGTCTAGTTCAAGGTCTCTGACTACTGATGCTGGGCCATCACTGGGACTTCTCTTGGTTATCCTGTTGTTGCCCTGTGTTGTGGAAGTCCTGCAGCTTTGGGTCTGCAGGACTGGTCAAAGAGGCTTGTGATTGCTGAACTTCAATACTTTGATAACTGGACTGTGGTAGTCAACCTCAGGAATGAGTCTGGCATAAGAAAGTGCCCAAATAAGGAAATAGACCTTGGTGGCTAGCTTTAGGGATGTAATCTGTGGTTACAAGGGAGAAGGAAGGGGAAAAGGCAAGGCTTGCTAGCATTATGTTTGCCATGTCTGGGCCTGGCACAGCCCTTCAGGATTACCAAGAATTGCCACACAAAACAATTTATTTTACCACTCAGTTTCAACTCCAGTAGCCAGCATCAGGTGATTCTTGAGACAATAGTTAAAACATGGACACAGAAGAAATATTGCTTGTATATGATTGTACACTTTCAAGAGATCACTGGTGGTTTGATCAAGTCCATGGAAACGTAATGGACATGGACGTGAAGGATTCTAGAGTTGGAAGAAACAAGTGAAGGAGAAAGTTAACTTACTAGCTTTTGATGAAGAGACTGAGTTTTTGTAATTTCCATACAAGTGAAGAGAAAAATAGGATCATGGAAGGCTGAGTACTTCTTTAAAAAAAAAGACAGCTATTGGAGCTGTATCATCAGAGACTATTTAGAACAGCCTGTTGCCCCAGGCATGACAAGTTTGTGAAAACCTGGGCTAACCTGTTGGGACACCCTGCAGGATAGATGGGACTAGACTGTTCAAGATAAAATCCATCAAGTACCAGAATCTTGGTATGTTTCTTGGGAAACAGCGTTTGAGATCTGTCCGGGTCATGCACGCAAACTGCTCAGACTGAGCGTCTGGGCCCCGACCTCGTCTGTCTTCATACTGACACTAGTTGCATCCGTGGTCTCACTTGTGCTGTTCCTACACTGTTTGGAAAAGGTGCTCACTCTCTTGAATCTCAGGTAAGTTGACTCGATTAATTAGTTACTCTTGGGTGACTGTGACCAAAATACCTGGGAGAAATGTGTTCCTCATTGTTTCAGAGTTTTTGGAAACATACCAACGGGCACGATGAAGGGGAACTTGACTAATCAGGGCATTGCCCAACCCAGTCGAGTTGAAAATCAAGACTGATGTTTAGACATGGGTTTAACACGACCCCCCACAGCACATCTACTGTCCCCTGAAGTCATTTCCTTCAAAATGTACTTGTAGCAGAGCTGTCGCCGTCTCTGCAGATCTGCTTTTCCAATCCCGAGCTTGCTGATTGCTAACCACACCGACCTGGGTCCACATCAGGATAGCTCTGGTCTGATGGCAGCTACCTGATCAAAGTGTTCAAGAGGTTCCATTCTATGGAATCAATTTGTCAAGGAGCCCTGATTCCTATATAATGGAGAATGGATCTAGAATTCAAGGTCTGGGCACTAAAGTGTACTCATGCCTACTGGCAAGTGATTGCTTCTAGGTTTTCTCTGGACAGAGCTAGGAAGTACAAACATGAATGCCAACCTATGCATTCATATATACATATCTATACTTAACCATAACCTGCTCTGGGCCTGGCTTTAGACCAACTTTAGAAAATGCCATGAGTTTTATTCCCAGCCCCATTTAATCCAGCATCTCTGGATCCATTCTTGCCTTTCCTCCTTACCTTGCTTGTAATATCTTATTTTTAAGACAGAGAAATGAGTGTCATTAGCTACTACATATGTACTTATTTTTCAACCCTACTATGCATATAAAGTAATTTCAAAATTGCTAACCTAACTCTGCTCAGGGAAATGTATTAACTAGAGTTCAATGTTGGCAGGCAATTTGTTTTGTATTTAGTCTTCAGCTTTCTGTCAAAACACTGTTTCCAAAGTTACTCACTTGGTTCTTATTTTCCTTGCTCCATTTGGTGTGGTTATGATTCATTTGTAGCATGTATGTCTGTCATAGTTTGAATTTTATTGTAAGTACCTTTCAATGCCTGCTAATAACCAAAAGTTTACATGCAATAGAACTCATTCCCTGTGGTGGGGCGCTGGGGAGGTAATTAGGGTCTAAAACTTTACTCAGTTGTAACAAAACTCCTTTTAGGGTTTATTTTTTAACTTCTTTAGGTTGTAACAAATGCAATGATTTGTGTCCCATCACCACAGATCCATGTAAATCAGCCCTATTATTTCCAAAATCTCACACTGTCCCTTTATAGTCAATTCCTATGACCAAACTCAATCCCAGGAGTCACTGACCCACTTCCTATCTCTATACTCTTTTGCAAGAATGTTACGTAAAAAAACATTGTGAATATGTAAGACTTTCATGCCTTTTAGAAATTTGGAATCATTTACATCCACCCATGCAGTTTTGTGTATTGGTCCTTTGTTTATTGTGGATTAGTGCTCCTTCCACAGATGTAATAAAATTTAAGTGTTTACATATTGACAGACATTAGAGCTGGTTCTTTATTTTATTTTTATGAACAGTTTCTATGAACATTCACAGACATAGTCATTTCTCTTGGGTAAGTATGAATGGGGTGCTAGTTCATATGGTATGCAAATGTTTTACTTCATAAGAAATCTCCATGGTTGGAAAGGTAGCTCAGTGGGTAAGGACATGAACTGCTGTTCCAGAGGTCTGGGGATCAGATCCCAGCACCCATGTTGTTCAACTCACACTCACCTGTAACTCCTAGTTTCAGAGAACGTGATGCCCTCTTCTGGCCCCCATGGGCACTGTATTTATGCACACACACACACACACACATGCACGCATGCATGCACACATGTACGCACGCAAGTACACACATACATACATATATTAAAAATAAAATGAGTCTTAAAAAACCCTAATTTCCAGTTTTTTAAAAGAGGCTGTATTCTTCAGTATTTTGACCAGTGCTTGTGAGAGTTCCTTCCTTGCCCGCATTTACTCTTGTCCACCTTCCAAATTTCAGCCATTGCAATAGTATATATAGTGGTATCCTATTATCTTCTGAAGTATCTAAATAACTTGTTTAATGAAATGAATTCATTTTAAGCAATGCAAAAAGAAACATTGATTCATATAGGCAGACACCTAAAATTGCAAAATGGGCACAAATCTTAGCATAGCCTAAGCTGCTGGTTATGACCTGGTTCTAAAGTATTCACACAATGCCCCCCCATTCGTGGCCATGATTCATAGGTGTTCTGAGATATCAATCAGAATTTATAGAATAATTTCTTATACATTTAGTTATAAACTGTAACCTAAGACTCTTAAGCAAGTTGCTTCTATGTGACAGGAATTTAAACTGCAAACCCTGGGTGCGGTCATGTTAGCTTTAAGCCCAACAACTAGGAGGCCGAGGAAGGCAGGTCTCTGTAGATTTGAGGTCAGCCTGGTCTGCGTGGAGAGTTCTAGGCCAGCCAGTGCTACACAGTGAGATGAGTTCTCAAAACAAAGAAATAAACAAGTGAAGAAGAAAGGAATGAAAAGAAAGAGCAAATTATGTTTATGTGTAAGCCTCAAAGGCAGTAGGTTCTTATTTAAATGATCCTACAAGTTGTTGAGTGTGGCTACTATTAAAACTTCCTGATAATTGAGGTGGGGCCTGAGTTTAAACTGACTGAGAAACTCTTCTCATGGTGTTATGTGAACACCTGCAAAGTGGAAAGTCTTTAGAGTCCAAAGATAGAATCAGGACTGACCTGCTAGTCCATTATTGCTATTAATCTTTGACAGGGGATGCTGGGGTCATATCACAGATGGCAGTTCTGGTGTGTATGGGAAGGAGCCAAGGATGTGAACTTTCACATCAGCCCAAACAATCCATGTCCCTGTCTCGTTCTCTTTTGTGAATCTATAATTTTCCCTCAGTTGCCAGCCATTTTTCCTATTGTCCTTGACAGTCCCTTTGAGAGACCCAACACCTGTCATTTTAAAAGATGCAGGCAGGACCTCTATCCTTGTTAGGGTAAGGGCATCCTTCACCTGACACCCAGGAACAAAAGGCTCCGCAAAGTCCGCTGCTTCCCTTAGCTAGCACACTGGCATCCTTGGTGTCCTGCTTTCTACACTCCCCAGTTTCAAGTTAAAGCGACTGAAGCCCAGTGTTCTACAACAGGACCGGATATCTACATCCAATTTTCTTTCAGTGGTGTTTTTTGTTCGCTGGGACTGGGATGTTCCTCGTTTCTTCATCCCCACTCAGGAGTCTGATCTCAGAGAGCAAGGGAAGACCGTGCCTCTTTGCTCGCCCCGCCTCCTTTGAGTCCACATGGCCCCTGTGGATGTCCTTCCCTGTTGCAAGCAGATGCTCAATGTATAGTGACTCAGTGAAGCCATCCTCCACCCCAGCCCATTGCATCCCCATTTCTGCCAAGTCCAGATGCTCTCTTACTGTCTTTTTAATACTTAATTTCCTAATGATTAGTGTAGACGGTCTTTCTTTTCCACACCAGCTCCAAATAATGACACAAGACTTGTTGTTAATTATGAAAGCTTGACCTTTGGCTTAGGCTTGTCTTAACTAGTGTACAAACATCCCACAACAGATTAGTGATGTTTAGCATCTTTTGTGAGCCCATTGCCGTTACCATGTCTTAACTGAGTATGTTGCTCCGCTGCTTTCTGGCCCATGGTTTCTGATGGGAATTTAGCTCAGATTTCACTAAGGGTCCCTCGTGCACAAGGATCCACTTCTCTCTTGCCGCTTCTCAGATTCCCTCTTTGCCTTTTGCCTTTTTGGTTCTAATGTGCCCACAGACATGCATTCCTTTGATGAGACAGACAATGTATTTCAACTGTTCCTCGTAAGAGTGTTGTATTCAAATGTTGCTCTCCCACAGTGCCAAGTGAGTATGGCATCCTTACTAAAGCCCAGTCAACACGCCGGCATTCTGCAGCTAGGACGCCGGCATTCTGCAGCTAGTGACTCTTTCTGCTTTCCTGACCTATGTCCTCTGGAGTCAGGTAAACTATAAAGTAACAACTGACGTGGGGGAGGAGAGATTTTCCAGGGCCTGTTCTCATGTGGCTCGTCTGGTAATTGGGGTTCAGGGGGCATAGGTTAAGGGAGGCAGCAGTCCAGAGGAGGATGGACTCATAAATTTGACTCAGAACATACTTTTTAAAGTTTTAGAGTACCAGTTTCCTGAGGTACAACTGATGTACATTAAACTTCAGGGTTTAAAATATGTGTAGACGGTACTAATACGTTTCAGCACGTGTGCACACTAGAGAAACCCAGTGCCCACAATCAAGATGACAAGTCCATTATCCTCAAAATGCCTTTGTAATTTCTCCCTTTTGATTCTCATACCTGCTGCTGACCACAGGCTGACACACTAATCTGTCTGTCTCTTCCCTCCCTTCCTCCCTCCCTCCCTCCTTTCCATTTCTTTCTCTTTCTTTTTTTCTCTTTCTTTCTTTCTTTCTTTCTTTCTTTCTTTCTTTCTTTCTTTTTTCCCCCTCCAAAGTCACCTGTTTATTTCTGAGATTATACAGCTCAAATGCCAAACTTCTGTCTCAAGCCGAAATGGCTCAGAGTTGACAGTCACTGTGTTTTTCCTAAAATTATACATTGTTTGGAGAAACATTTTAGTTTCAGAAACACTTGTACAAAATAATTCCCACACCCTACTGTACACATTTTATTATTGCTTTGGTTTTTGAGACACGGTTTCTCTGTGTAGCCCTAGCTGTCCTGGAAATCACTATATAGACCAGGCTGGTCTCGTGGTCCCGAACTCACAGAGATCTGCCTGCCTCTGCCTCCCGAGTACTGAGATTAAAAGTGTGATTCACCACTACTGGGCTTATTTTCCTCTCTCTCTCTCTCTCTCTCTCTCTCTCTCTCTCTCTCTCTCTCTCTCTCTCTCATAGGGTATCACCAGCATGAGGTTGTTTGAACCTTCTGGACTTCATGGAATTGTCTCCTGACCACCTAGCATTGGATGGTACAACTCAATGTCGCTTCATTGAGCACTTGTGAAGCATGTGAACATGAAAGATATTTACTTTGGAGATGACAGCAGTGGCCTCTTCTGTGCTCTAAATGATGACCATCTCAATGGCCTTGTCCTTGGACACGTATCAGGTATAGTCTATGTAGTGAGCAGGCTGCACGTGGCCCTTTGGCTCAACCCATTGTACCTTCTGGTTTGCTTTGTTGTCGTTTTATTTTGTTTTTGTGATCTTGGAAGATAAGACTTGAACTTATTTAAGAAAATTTGTTGTTTAGGTTTTTGTCTGAGTCCACCTAGCTGTGAAACAGCTGTCCAGCCAAGGATGACCTTGAACTCCTCAAAATTTGACCTCCACTTCCCAAGTGCTGGTGTTACAGATTTTGTACTGTTACAGCTGGCTTCCCGCATGCTAGGCAAGCACTCTGTACACGAGTGACATCCCTACAGCCCCAGATGCTTTAAATTGTCTCTAGATCACTAAGAATATGCAATGCAATGTAAATGCTATGGAAATAACTGTTTTACAGTATTGTTTAAGGAATTATACCAAGAAAAACTTTTACCCATGTTCAGTACAGGTAATAACTTTTTCTTTTCTGAACATTTTCAACCCATAATTGGTTAGATCTATGGGCAAAAAATGCACAGATACTAATGGTTGATTGGATAGATTGTTGGTAGTGTTTCCTGACACATAAGTAACACATAAAAAGCTAATGACAAGATAATAAAGTTAAGATAATCCAAACTGTTCTTGATATTAGGATTCAAATTCTTTTCAGACTCTGCTAAAAATTATGACCTCTTTTGAGAAAGTGTTCCTATCAGAAACCTAGAGGTGAAACTTTGACTCTTAATCCAGGACCTCAGATTTTAAAGGCTGGATTATAGGAATCAGTAGGCAAGGAGAAATGTTTTTTAAAAAGTAATGTATCTGTACAAAATAATGCTAATTATGCTTGCTTATGCAAACAACCTATACTTCCATATACAATAGCAGTTTTGCATACAATTCTGTCAGATTGATTTTGGTGTAAGTTTGATTTGGTTATAAAACTAAATTGTGGATGTAGGCTCCATCATTATTTATTGCCCATGGAACACAGTAGTTGTCTATTAAAAGAACATTCTTAAATGCCATTCTTTTTTCAAGGCCTGATAATTTATTACTCTTGCCTACATCTCTTGGCAATCTCTTCCTGGCATTTTTCTTTGGCTTCCTTCATTCTCTTGGTGAAACGTTTAGCATCTTCTGCAGCCTCCTCTGTGATTTCTTAGTGAGTTGTTTCTTCATAGCAGTCCATAGGCATTTGTGTTGCAGGACATATGGAATGATAAGACATCGAATCTTGGGTGATTTGGTCCCAGGCTTCTCATTTTCTTTGTTTAATGGCTCTCAGACAACGCACTGGTTGGTGGACATCCTCTTCTTTAGAGAGACTGGAAAGCTTTCAGATTCTTCAAGCAATTTGGGGCCACAGCTGCTGAGACACATTAGTATCTGTCAGCCTGGGGGATATCCTTCTCTCCTTTCTTTCCACAATAATCAAGTTGAGAGCACTGAGATCAGTACCCACAAGGCATTCATGAACAGACCTGTCCAGTTCTCCTTGGTCCATAACAAGAATGTCAGTACTCAACACCAGGCCTACTCTGCCATGGGCCAAGCCACCTTGCTTTATGGGAAGACCTTGTTTGTCATTCCCAGCACTGATTCAGACCACACGACCCTCCCACTCTTCACCGGCAGTGTCAGCAGTTACTTCTGTGGCCATGAGCTTCTCGAAGAAAGTGTAACAGTTGCACTCATCATCCACTTCAACGATTCTTCACAGCCAGTGGCTGGGAAGAGCTCCAGCTTCAGATTCAATGAAAAAAGAAAACCACATAATTTTTTATTATTATTGGTGATGGTGCCACAGAGCCCATGTGCAGGTGAGAAGACAACTCTGTGGAAATGGTTTTCTTGTTCAAAGGATCAAGCTTAGGCCATCATTCTTGGAGCAAAGGTCTACGCCCACCGAGCTGTTTCTCCAGTCCTTAGCTTGTTTTTCTTTTCTTTTGTTTGAAATAAGATCTTAAACTTGGAATCCTCCTGCATTCATGCCTCAGATTTAAGAAGAAAAACCAGAATGCCTTTCTCTCTAATGAATCAGTCTCCATGGCTTCAGCTATTGAAAACTGTGTTCTTAAGGAAGTGGGAAGTGAGTCAGTGGAAGGTTTGAGGTCTCCCAAGACAGGCTAGGGTTGGAATTGAGCTTCTAGCACCTTCGGGATCATTTATAAGCCCCTTACTTGACTCCTAGCCTTTGATGGCTTAATCTTTAAGTGAGAATAAAGCACCTCTTGGAGGTGTTTTTTATGAGGGCTAGAATCAATAAAACAAACTGTATTAGATTCTAAATACATGGGCGCTGTTTGTGGTGAGTTCTTGATGTACACAATGAGTTAGAGGTGCTCAGGACTTCTATGCCCTATAACCAAACCACCATGAAGTTCCTCAGTTCAGGCAACAATTGCTTATTCGGATGAAGGAGCAGCAGGTGTCAGAGAGCTAATGTTGATATTGTGAAACTGCCAGAATTAAACTTATACCATCTTCTTTGATACTTCAGTGAACCATGACTTCTGAATGTCACTTAGGTGGTTTTTCAGGGGTTGGTGAGGGATCTAAACTGACTAATAATCCAGAACCAACATCCCCAGGGGGAAAAACCAGTTCTTAAAAACACCTTTCCTTCTATCTTGCTGGCTTCCTTGTTTTTACTGCCGACTTCCTTGTCCCCCCCCCAACCGTCCCCCCCCCCCCCGCTCAGTGCATACTAAAACGACTAATAATAGGTTTTTTTCTTCCAAGAATACACAGCCACTAATATATCTGTCCCATAGTTTTGTTTTTTCTTCCAAGAATATGTTTTCATGTCCTCGTGACATAACGTCCCTGGACCCTTGAGAAAAATGAATGTGTTCTTTCAGTCACCTTTACCGTTTAGGCCAAAGTTTTCTTTAAAAAGAAAATACGTTTTATGTGTATTGGTTTTTGCCTGAACGGATGTCTGGGTACCGCATGGAGGTACAGACTAGTGTGAGTGGCCGAGTGGATGCTGGGAACCAAACCGACTTCCTCTGGGAGAGCTGCCACCAACCACTTAACCACGAAGTAGTTTCTCTAGCCCCCTGGGCCAAAGTTTTCAAATGTTCAGTGGAAAGCAGTTTTTGGTTAGAAAACAAGGACTCAGGTCACCTGGTTCTGGCCCCTACCACCATTTTTACACCTAAATGAGGTGGCTGATGGCGGTTTCCTCATTTGCGCCGTGCATCAACTCTCACCTTGGTGGTGGGTGAGCGTTATCCATACAGGACAAGCCAGTCTGCAGGCCTTAAGTGATAGCACTCTGTAGTGCTGAGGATCCCGCTGTGGGGCTAGGGACTGGCAGCCGCCGGAATGCAGAGCTGCGTGCGCAGCGCCACCAGCGACTTGGAGGCCAGCGTCTCCGTTGCCAGGGGAACGGGGCACCGCGCTTTCCGGCGCAGTCGCGGCGCCAAGCAGCTGTCATGGCGGAAGCGGTGTGGAGCACTGACACCGGCGAGGCCGTGTATCGCTCCCGGGACCCCGTGCGCAACCTGCGCCTCCGGTAGTCACACCACCCCAGCTCCGGGGCCCCCTAGCTTTATGCTCTCGGACAATCCCACCCTAAGCTTTTGGGTATTCAGAGACCCCCCCACTTCCGCTTGCAATCCCAACTACTTCCTCTGCCATCTCTGCACATCTAGCTACCAAGACCTTTTCCCACCGAAAGCTTCCAAGCACATCTTCCAGACCTCACCCCTGCCCAAGTCCCTTCAAGTTCTTGTCACTTTCAAACCCCTCAGGCCCTCTCAGACTTTCCTGGCAGGCGCCCCTACCCATCTCCTCCCCCTGCTCTGCTTGCAGCCGCCTTAGCAACTCCGTCTCTGTGGTTTTCCTTATCCTTGCTGTGTTTGTCTCCTGGCGGATTTTGAGCTTCTCTTTTCTTGACAGAGTTCATCTGCAAAGAATCACATCAAGCAACTTCCTTCATTACCAGCCTGCTGCCCAGATGGGGAAGGACCTCATAGACTTGGCCACTTTTAGACCTCCTCAAACAGCTAGTGGGTGCTTTTGCTGATGGCGATGCATCCCCTTGACAACCGAGGGAAGGGCCCGGGGCAGTAGAGGTGCAGCGGAGGAACAGAAAGGCTCGGACAGGTTGAGTTTGTTGCCCAGTGTCACATAGCTGGGGCATGTGGGAGCATTTGAACCTGAGCAATCTTTTTTTTTTTTTGCATTTTTATTTACTTTTGTGTGTGTACATGTCTGTGCCACGGTGCGAGAGTGAAGCTCAGAGGACAGACTTTGGGAGTCAGTTCAGTTATCTCTTTTAAACCCATGAGTCCTGGGGCTTGAAATCAGGTTGGCCATGGGCCCCTTTACCGGCTGAACCACTTCACCCATTCCCAAGTGAGACTTGTGTGTGTGTGTGTGTGGGGGGGCTTCTAAGAGAAATGTGTTCCAAACTCCAAATGTAAAACGATTTTAAAACAGGAGTTTGCATATAAATGTGATTTTCCTTGCCTTGGAAGCCAAAAGAGGGGACAGGGTATTTACAATGGTCTAATAACCTTTCATTCTTCTGCCAGTCATTTCTTTTTCTATTCAGAAATGCTCTAAGGCAGAAAAGGTAGGCTGGTGGATGACGAATATGCATCTTGTGAAAGCCACAGGGAGCCAGGACTGTATTAAACACGGTTCTTTAAAGAAATCATTTGTTTGCGTTCCCTGTCCTCTTGTGATGCTCTCTCCTGTTGGTATTCGTGGATGATTCTGTCCGCGGCTTCGGGGATATGAAAGAAGCAGGAGGCTCCTTATCTAGCAAATGCAGACAGGCTTGAGCAAGGGCTGGCCTCCAGGTCTAACTACATCTCAGTTCCTAATACTGGATTTGAGGAACTGTTTCCTGAAAGGCTTGACTGCCTTTTATTCAAATTAGAGTAGTAATTAAGATGCCACAGGTCCTAATCTTGGCTTCTACTATTAACTGAAGTATGTCCACCGCCTGCATTCTTTGTCTAGAATGAGTACTGAATGAATCACTGAACTCCAGTGGGGTTTGTGATAGGTGTAAATAGGAACTTTGAAGGCAAGCCTGGTAGTATACACATGTAATGCCAGTGCTTTTCTGGCTGAGGCAGGAGGATCTGGAATATGAGGTTAGACTGGATTGCTCAGTGAGACACTATCCCAAACAACAATAATGGATTACCAAAATCAAAGTGAAACAAGAATAGAAACGCTGGTTATAATTAACCACAGAGGAAGACGTGTTGCCGGTCTGACTCATTCTGTTGTGTTTGGAGGTGGACACCGCCCGGATGAAGAAGAGGAGGAAGAGGTTGTGATTGGGTGGCAGGAGAAGCTCTTTAGCCAGGTAAGCCAGTATTACCTGTCCTCAGTCTACCTACCCACTCCCACAGCTGGTGACTCATGCTGTGAAACCCATTTCAAGAAAAGGTTGTGGAGCTTTTATACTTTCCCCTGTTGTGTTTATTTGGATCTTGTAGTATAACGGCTGTAACATAACTAAACTGCAAGGTTTAGTGTTCTGAACTCTGCAGCCTCTGTAGCATCAGAGTTGAATTAGAACATCAGCCTGGTTCCTTTTAACTCTAACATTCTTAGATCCCCTGCCCTTCCTTATTAAAACAAGTGATGGCCGGTTATCGAAACACGTCTCTGTAGAAGAAGTGATTTGATTTGGTTAGGAACCGAAGTCTGAGGTCGTCCCAACCAATGGGTTTCTTTGTGGTGATTTCAGTTTGAAGTAGATCTGTACCAAAATGAATCCGCATGTCAGAGTCCTTTGGATCATCAGTACCGCCAAGAGGTCCTGAAGCTGGAGAATTCCGGCGGCAGGAAAAACCGGCGGATCTTCACGTACACCGACTCTGACAGATACACCGACTTGGAAGAGGTACTTTTCCTTCTGAAGCACCATCGCTTCCTTCTTTGTCTCCCCTGGTTTCCTGGCCTCACTGGTCCTGTGTGGTGAGTGGGAAGCCCCGGTTCTAGAGGCTACTGTGAGCTGCTGGCGGCCAGGCTGGAGTGGACGGAGTCTGAGGTGGCACAGCCCCCTGGAGGGCCATGGTGTGGGGAGGGGGAGCAGACAAAATCTAGAACAATCCATTTAAAATTCACTCAAAGCCGGTCAGCAGTGGTGGTGCACACCTTTAATCCCAGTACTTGGGAGGCAGAGGCAGGTGGATCTCTGTGAGTCTGAGGCCAGCCTGGTCTGCAAAGTGAGTTCTGGGACAGCCAGGGTTGCACAAAGAAACCCTGTCTGAACAAGTAAATAAATAAATCAATTCAGTCAAAACTCAGGAGTTTACAGGTGAGAAGAGGAATTTGCTTAGGCTATGGGGAATGCCTGTTTTTGTTGTTTGTGTTTTTTGTTTATTTTTACATGCATCAGTGTGCCCTTGTGGCCTTGTTTTTATAAATGTCTTCTCAGGAAGATCGTAAATTCCTTGAAGGTAGAACTATTTGCTGCTAGCTTACCCAACTGAGAACTTCCTCGAAAACGCTGGTGTCCTATTTGGCATTTTGACCACCTAGTTAGCACCAATATTTAACAGGCACACTGCCCCAACTTCTTGACATATGTCCAGAGAATGCAGGCCGATCTTACTATTAGCATAAAAACTCATTTCTAGAACCCTAAGGAAAACCATGATACGGTGGGCGTCTGTCAGTTGGGTTTGCACCCTGGAGGAGGGGTCAGAAGGAAGGCTTCCTCTCAGGTGCTTTTACCCATGTGGCCCTGATCACATGGCCTCCACAGGACAGTTCTCTTTTCTCAGTACTGTCAGAAAATAACCACTGCAGCCAGTGAGGTGCCGTCATTTCTGGTTGAGCGGATGGCGAACGTCAGGCGGCGCCGCCAGGACAGGCGAGGGATGTGAGTGCAAGTGGGGACCAGGGGGGTCTCTGTGGCACCTTGTGCTAATATTCCTGTAATTCCCACTGGCTAATACTTCCCATCCAGTTAGAGGACCATCGGGGGAAGGGCTCCCTCCCTTATGATCTCCTTTGGGCTCTTTGTGGGGTGTCAGGGAATTGACCCTTTGCTGTGATGGCTCCCAGGGAGGGCAGCAAACTCAAGTCTCGCATCATCACCTGGGAGCCCTCGGAAGACTTCATCAGGAACAGCCACGCCATTAACACCCCTCTTCAGACCATGTACATTATGGCAGACCTGGGGCCCTATGGAAAGTGAGTGACACTTTGCCTTGCCAGCTCCTGTCCTCTCCCTGTCACTCACCAACAGCTTCCTGTTACAGCCATCTGGAGCCATTGGGACAGTGGGTCTATTCTCTTTTACTGTACTCAAAAGGAAGTGTGTTATGATGAAGTTCTTACTGTGCCCTCTGTCCTGTCCCTGAGGTGGCCGACTGCCTCTCTCTTTCCCTGGCGACCCTGAACCTTGATGACGGTTTCCTGGTCCCTAGGCTTGGCTATAAGGCGTATGAGCACGTACTCTGCATTCTGAAGGTGGACAGCAATGGAGTGATCACAGTGAAGCCTGACTTTACCGGCATCAAAGGACCCTACAGGTGGGAGTGGAAAGGAAGTGTGTCGAGGCTTCTCTGCCTGCCTCCTCGCCTCTAGTTGAGTAGCATCCAGAAAGCCCCTGATCTGCTCCTAAACGTTTACTTCCCAGGCACCGGTTCATATTCTGTTCTGGGTTACAGGCCTTTAGGAAGCTTTCAGGAATCTCATTAGCTGTGCAGGGTTAGTGTGAAGGGTTCAGGCATTATAGAGAATAGGAATTGGCTAGAACAGGAAAAGTGGGCTCAGACTCAGCCAGGCCAGGTCCAGCTTCCTCTTCTGTCTGAGAGGACAGCACTGTGGGTTAGAGACCAAACTCATCCAACCTGTCCCTGTTTCAGGTGAGAGAATGAGTGCTGTAGGGTTTGCTCTGTCTGTGAGGTAGAACGGGTCCAGAACCCATGGGTCTAGTCAGGTGAGAGAATGAGTGCTGTAGGGTTTGCTCTGTCTGTGAGGTAGAACGGGTCCAGAACCCATGGGTCTAGTCAGGTGAGAGAATGAGTGCTGTAGGGTTTGCTCTGTCTGTGAGGTAGAACGGGTCCAGAACCCATGGGTCTAGTCTGGAGCCCTTTCTGCTTCACTATTTCCCCCGTGATCATCCTTGTGGCCATCTTCGCCATAGGCCTCAAGTGAGCTGTGGCACCAGCCGTGCTGGCTCCCTGGGCTGGGTCGGGAAGGCCACACCTCTTGCTGACAGAAATGACCCCTTTTGTCCTTACAGAATTGAGACTGAGGGAGAGAAACAGGAATATACTTCTGCTTGGAAATACACTATCGACAACGTGTCCTCCCTCGCACAGCCGGAAGAGGAGGAGCGGGAGCAGCGTGTGTTCAAGGATGTAAGCACTAGTTTACATGAAGCTGTGTCTGAGGAAGAGGGCAACCCGCCACTATCCAGAAAACACAACTGACACAACAGGCGGTTTTAACCGTACTGGAGCGTAATACCAGTGGCCACGCGCCTGAGTATCAATTGCTGTGCCAGGCATATATATCACAAGCGTTTCATTTAGCTCTTACAACCCTTTATACCACTTTATAAACAAGGACCCTGAAGTTAAGTAATAGAGCTTCTAAACTTGAGAGCCAGGTTCATTCCCAGCCTGGCCAACCACAGTGTATCACTTTATCTTATTTATTAGCAGGGATGTGTGTGTTGAGACTGCTCACTCTTGCTCAGACTACCCAGGAACTCCCTATGTAGCGCAGGCTGACCTTGAGTTGGCAACAATCCTCTTGTCTTAGCTTCAACAATATGGGATGGCTAACACAAATGGCCGTACTTGTCTTTTGGTGTCAGTATCTGGGAGGCTTGCCCTGCCCCACCTTTCTCCCAGTTGGGACTACCCCTGGTCTGGCTTGGGCTGCATTTTGAGGATTGGTTCGCTTTGTTTCCTCAGCTTCATGGCCGCCACAAAGAGTACCTCAGCAGCCTCGTGGGCACAGACTTTGAGACGGTGGGTAGCTCGGCTCCCTGCAGCGCTGCGAGCTCTTAGGCAGTGTCTGACTGTGGAGGCACGATAGCACCTCTCTTAAAAGGCTCCGAGTCAAAGAAGCGTTTCGTGACCCTGTGCATTGATGTGAACCCTTGGCATGCACAGAGCGGGGTCTGAAGGGGATCACACACGCCGCGTGGGCCTCTCTTGGAACAGGCTGAGTGGGTGGTGGTGAGTGGGTACTGGGCAGTGAGAAGAATACATCAAGCATTTTGGCCTCCTGTTCTCCAGGTTTAGGTGGTTTTTGGTTTTATCGGTGGTGATGCATCCATATATTAATGAAGGGTGGATTAAGGAAGTTCACAGATACCCGAGTAAAAGAATAGCGAATACTTATTTAGGGAACACTCACACTGAAAGGTGAAGCGTCACCACGGCCTTCTGCCCTTGGAGGCACAGGATGCTGCGATGGAGGATGATGGTCAGGTCTCAGCCCATCACCCCAAGAGAGAGCGAGCTCGTGACCCCTCCTCTTCCTTATAAGGATCATGTCCTCACATGGAAGCCACGCCCTAAGACTCTGAAGCTATTGGCAGAAACAATTCCCACTGCATATTAACTTACAATTAATTTTTAAAAAATATTTTATTTATTATGTATGCCAGAAGAGGGCACCAGATCTCATTACAGATGGTTGTGAGTCATATGGTTGCTAGGAATTGAACTCAAGATCTCTGGAAGAGCAGCCAGTACTCTTAACTTCTAAGTCCTACAATTAATTTAAAAAAAAACAATATAAAGATTTTAAAAAATGTCTTCCTCATCCTTCATGTGACTATTGTTCCAGAGCAGCTCAGACAGAGGAAAGATCTCATTTCTGCTGGTCACCAAAGCAGTTTGGGTCAGTCACTCTGGGTTTTCCTTCTCACCAGGGATTCTATTTCTAGATCTGCACGCAAGGCTAGAACTGCTCACTGACTTCACTCTCTCTGTCTCTAGAAAAGTGACTCTTATTGTTTTCATAGTATATAGGCAGCAAATCCTAATGTTAAAAAAGTCGAGACAGATAACACAAACAATTAAAAAGGAGTCCTCTAGTGTTACCCTCCCTGCCATCTAAGTGATGTGCTGTCACTCGATGAGTCTTGGGAATAGGAACGGGCTCTGTGGAGAAGTGTCAGGGCAGAAGAACGTACAGAAATGTTTAATATGTAAGGTCTTCTGCAGAGTCGGGGACAGGGCTTGGGGGGTGGGGGGACTTGATTCCCTCTGACACCTTCCCATTTCTCTCTGCTGTAGACCATCCCAGGTGCCCTCCGGCTCTTTGTAAATGGAGAGGTAGGTAAGTGTCTTGTCTTGGAGCCAGGCAAGAGTCTGATGCACCTGTGAGTATCTACTCACCTTGGTTTAGTGTGGGCTGAACATGGGAAATGAGTGGTGAGTCCTTTTTGGAAACAGAATCCTGGTCCCTCAGAAGGCGCGTGTGGGCCCTTCAAGACTAGGCTGAAACTTCTAAACTTCTGTTCTGTTTTCTTCCTTAAGTTTCGGCCCAAGGCTATGAGTATGACAACCTCTACATCCATTTCTTTGTGGAGCTGCCAGCTACTAGTAAGTAAATTTCCTTGCATTTCTTCTTTTATATCTATGCTGACAGTTCTAGGGGCAATTCCATCCGCTCCCGCTGAAACTGTTCAAGGTCATAGGTCACTTCCACATTGCCAGTTCTAGTAAGGCATCTCTCTTGGCTTCTGGCACCATAGTCCCTCCTTCTCATTAAGAGCTCATCAGGCTCTTTGGTGGCCTCCTCCTCATCTGCTCATCCTAAACTGTGAGCACATCCGAGGCTAAGCCTGACTTCTGTTACTCTCTACCTCTAGTCTGCCGAGGCAATTACATCTATCCTGTAAATTCCATCTATGTCTGTTGCCCTGCCCGTAGGCACACCAGAGTGTTAGCTCCAGGAGAGACAATCCTGGTCACTAACATAGCCCCAAAACATATCAGCATAAAGCTCAATAGTAAATGAATAACACGTGTGAACAAGTGATGAATGGATGAATGGATAAAGGGTCTTTGTCCTCCCCCCAGTCACTCACTGGCCTCTCTAGTGAGCTTACTGTGTCTGGTCTTTGCCTTTCAGACTGGTCAAGCCCATCATTCCCGCAGTTCTCAGGAGTGACCCAGACCTGTGCCACCAAATCCCTGGGAATGGTATGGAGCATGAGAGGGTCTATCTGGAAGGGAATGGCAACTCCAGGTGGCATCTGAAGCTTCATCAGGCCAACCCCCCTGTGGAGTCTGTGGAGGAATCAGCTGGGGCTGTTTCTGTGTGGGCTCTGTGGGCCTGCCGGAGTGAGGGTCACTCTTGATCTCTCAAGAGAGTGACAGCAGCTTGCATAGCTGTCCCTTTGCCTGTTGGCTTCCTACTAGGCTGACAGTATTTCTTTCACTGTGTGAAGGTGACCTTGTCATCAGACACAAAGAGAACCACTTCCAAGAGAGACTTGGCCTGCCCTGTGACACTGAACTGAAAATGACACTCTTTTTTTAGGACAAGGTGGCCTATTTCTCCTACCCATTCACATTTGAAGCCTTCTTTCTCCACCAGGATGAGTCGGCTGGTGAGTAGCTGCGGTCCTCAGCCTCACTTCTCCTTTCCCAGGGCCCTCTCATGGCACAGGTCCCTGTGACCATGCCACCTCGCTTACTTTCCAGACGCCCTCCCAGAGTGGCCCGTGCTCTACTGTAAGGTCCTCTCCCTGGACTTCTGGCAGAGGTACCGTGTGGAAGGCTATGGGGCTGCGGTGCTGCCGGCCATCCCAGGTAACCGCTTGTCCCTGCCCTTCCCGATGCCCTCGGCCCTAGCAACAAGACCAGCACTTCCATAAGAGCCCGAGACCCCTGATGAGAAGTAGAGGTGGTTAGGGATCAGGCTCTGACTTGAAAGACTGCTTGTAGCTTTGTGGAATTTCTTCCCTCCCCTGAGAGACACTGTGAAGCTGACCTCCTGAAGTCCAGCAGCCTCCTCCAGTTAGACCACAGCCTTGACAGAGAAGCCACACAGTCAGTGGGCTCTCAGCCTGCCGGTATTCAGTGAGTCGGTGTTCCTTTTGAAACAGAAGTGCAGGCTTGTTGATATATGCCAGGCAGTGTACTAATCTCATCTAAGTCTCCCAGCCCCTCTCTGAGGCCTATGTTGTGCTTGCTTCTGTATTTTACCAGATCAAAAGAGAAGGAGGCTCTTGGAGGCTGACAGGCTTGTCTTAAGCACACAGTGATCCCTGGAGTAGCTGAGTTTAGAAGTTCCACCTTACTGTCTTCCGGTCATACACGTGATAACCTTTACATTTACATAGGTTCAGTCATCACTAACCCAGGTCACTGCCGGGAAGTCAGGCATGGAACCTGGCCTCTTTCCCCTCTTGCTTGCACAGGCTCACACACCCTGACCATCTCCACGTGGAGGCCCATGGAGCTGGGCCTTGTGGCAGAGCTAAGGAGGTTCTTCATAGGCGGTTCCCTGGAGCTGGAGGACCCCTCCTACGTGAGGATACCGGGAACCTTCAAGGTGACTTATCTCTGGGGAGACTTCAGGCTGAGTGTTTCTGTTCCTGTCGTGTCTGGATTAACCACTCCCCCTTGATGTTGGTCGCACTCATGTTATGTAGCCCCTTCCTTCCTGTGGCTTACACTGCAGGTCCTGCCCATATTTACAGGGCCCTTGGAAGTAGTGTGTTTATAGATTCCCTTGCCCTTATTAGGTAACTGGCCCCTTCTGTCACTGAAGGCCTTGGTAATCAGATGCAGGGCGGACTTGCATGGAGCGTTATTAACCTGCTCATTCTCCAATGTGGGTGGAATGTTTACGAAGTTACAAGAAGGGAGCCTGGTGTTACCCTTGTGTTGGGTCAGAATGACAGAATCAAGTTTCCTTATTAATGCTACACTTCCCAAGAATAGGACTATGAGTGGCAGCAAAGCCTCTGCACAAACTGACCCTATCTCGCTGTCTGCCCAGGGGGAGCGTCTGAGCCGATTTGGATTCCGAACTGAGACGACAGGTACTGTCACCTTCCGCCTGCACTGCCTGCAGCAGTCCAAGTGAGTGGCACTGCCCCCTCCCAGCTCCTTGTCCTTGAGGGTTGGAGAGCAGCCTTGACTATGTGTTGTTGGGTTTCCCTGCAGGGCTTTCATGGAATCCAACTCCCTACGGAAACAGATGCGGAGCGTGTTGGACCGCCTGGAAGGGTTCAGTCAGCAGAGTTCCACACACAATGTGCTAGGTAGGCTCCTCATTCCCCCAACAGGACACCCAGGGCCACTGTCTTCTCCACACCATGGTAGCTGACTAGGTATCAATATTTCCCTCCCTTACAGAAGCCTTCCGTCGAGCCCGGCGCCGCATGCAAGAGGCCCGCGAGAGCCTCCCCCAGGACCTTGTGAGCCCCTCAGGAACACTGGCCTAGCTCTCTGCAGCCCTGGCCTGTGGAGCAAGAGTACACTCACTTCATCTTGCTTTTTAGAGACCACATTGGTCTACCAAATTGGATGATCTAGAAGCTTCCAGCTGGCTCCTCTGTGTAGCCTTCAGCAGGACTTTCTTCCCTATGGAAGTAAAGCCAGAGACTCTGGGGCCCCGTGTGACCCCTCTCTTCATGTTTCAGCTACCAAACATGGGCTTCATAACCAGGCAGGCTGTGTAGTCCGAGACTCCTGTGGTGTGAGCCCAGGGTTAGCCTATCATTGACACAATGTCTTTTCTGATTTGTCACATAGTCTTAGTGGCAGAGAAAACTCTTGTTTCACAGACCTTAAAAATGGAGTTTGGCGTCCAGGAGTAGTGGCACATGCCTTTAATCCCAGCACTTGGGAGGCAGAGGCAGATGGATCTCTGTGAATTCAAGGTCAGCCTGGTCTACAGAGTGAGTTTCAGGACAGCCAAAGTGGCATAGGGAGACCCTGTATCAAAACAAACAAACAAACAAACAAACACCAGCAAAGTGGAATTTGGCATCATCCAAGGAGAAAGACGCATGAGAGACCTCAGTCTCTCTTATCTTCCAAGAAAAGTGGAGGCAAAGAGGCCTCAACTTCCTGACTAAATTTCTGTCCCCTTTTCTCAGGCAGCTTCATTTTACAGTGTATGTCTGACCAAGTTTAGGACATGGCCTGGGGTAGTTCTCTGCCCTTCCTGTTAGCTACGTAAGGTCTTTCATTGTGTTTGTTTGTTTTTCATATAAAAATATTTATATTGACTGATGATCTGTGGACTGTCACTCTTTCTACTTTGAGACCCAACTCCTCTGCCTTTCTCTCCTTCACAGAAGAGACAGAGTCCCAGGCTGCATCTTAGTAGCCCTCATTTTCAATATGTGGGGCAAAGCTTGGGACCCAGGCCACGCTCTCCCCAGCCCAACAGAAAGAATGCAGGCCTTGCCCTCAGCATTGTTTTATTGCTTGAAGTAGAGAGCGCTGCCCTTCCTGCAGCCCCAGAGGAAGGTTGTGGCATGGCTAAGAGCCAGGATCATGTGGTCTTCCAGTCATGCTGTGGGGAAGGGGCAGGAGAAAGTGCTGGAAACCCTCCCGCAGTCTCTTGCTGGACCCCAAGCATGGCTTAACTCAAGGCTCTTATACCTGATGTTGATTCATAACTTACTAAGAGGCTGCCAAGGTTAATGGGCCTCTTGCCATTGCATCCTTGGCACTCTTACCCAATGAAGCCAGCAAAATGTAGCCTGCAAAAGCTCCAGAAGAAAATGGTTTTGGGGGGAGAAAGCAGCCTCATGATCTCCCCCTTACCCTCATCTCCAAGATTTGAGGGCTTGGCATGGGATCCTGTGGGAACAGCAGAAATAAGTGAGTGGGGGATTTGTTAGATATGCAGATGAAAAGCTATTTTAGGACATTAATGACAAAACTGAGGGTGGTTGAACACTTCTAATTGTCCCTGTCCTAACCTATGAAGTCCTAGACCCCAGAACTATTAGCCCAGAAGCTAGCATCCTTGGAAGCCATTAGGAAAGAGTACCATTTTTCCTAGTGACAAATTCTATTGTCTCCACTTGGCAAATGGGATGTCTTATCTCAGGGAGAGATGCGAGGACCCGACCCATTCCAGATCTCCCCTTACCTGCTGAAGCCTCATTTGCCTCGCCAGGCTGACAGGTTCAACTTGGGAATACGGTTACAGCTCACGAAACCCCTTGGGTAGATGTTAGCCCTGAAGATGTCCTTCGAAACAGTGGTGATGCCAGTATTGTCGCATATTATCCGAGATAAGGAAATTCGTCTCAGGGCTCTGCGTTGTCTTTTGGTGAAAACGCCCCATTTCTGCCACCAGAATCTGTGGATCAAGAGATGCTTGAGGAAGTTGGGGAGTTACTGTGCAGTGAGCACTTTTTGTATGCCTGGCACCTTCCATTTCATTCTTTCCACACAGTCTTTCTGCCAGTTTCTGCCCAGTGAACTGCCCAGAAGTAAGCACGCAGAAATATAGGTGGCCAGGGAAGGGTTTGAACCGAAGCACATGCCACACATCCCATAAAGTCTTAAGCCACAAACTTCCTAGAGAGAAACCAGGTTTAGTTCTTTCTGCCCATGCTCTGGGATCTGCTAACCCAGGACAGTGAGGTTGTCTGGTTGCTGCTCTGGCCCAAGGAGGCTCCAGCTCAGGCTGCGTCAGTCTTGCCTAGGTTGGCATTGCTTTCCCCCAGACCTTCTTCCCATGAGGAAGCCCCTGGTCTCAGGTCCTGTGACCTTGGGAGAAATGAAACTTAAAAAAAATTAAATAATTTACTTTTGTTTTAATATGCATTGGTGTTTTGCCAGTATGTCTGTGTGAGTGTGTTGGATCCCCCTGGAACTGGAGTTACAGACAGTTGTGAGCTGTCATGTGGGTGCTGGGAATTGAACCTGGGTCCTCTGAAAGAGCTGCCAGTGCTCTTAACCACTGATCTTTAAAAGATTCTTTCTCCCTTGTCCAGTCACACAGTGCTGTGTCTTTCTCCTCTACTTGGGGTGCTGGGGGTCACTCACCTGTCGCCATCTCTGGCTCTTCTGAACTGGTTCTCAAAAAGACAAGCCAGGAGAGGCCCCACTCGGGCCCCAGGCAAAAGAGGCTCTGCAATGGCCCCCATCCAGATGTCAATGTTGTCGGGTGTCCCATACAGACTCAGGAACTTCCTTGCCAAAGCCTGATTTTTCAGCACCTGGCTAAGCTGAGCCAAGTTTCGGGGCTGGGAAAGCCCACAGAAGCGCCGCCAGGCATTGTATCCTGCAGGAGAACCAGGAAGCCGCTCTGTCAGTCTCCATTAGCTTCTGCTGATCCCCACAAATCCTCCAGAGTATATTCTGTGGTCAATACTGAACGGAACCAGAAGATCCCTACAGGTCTACACCAGATCACAGCCCTCTATAGACTCTGGTGAACAGTCACGTATCGGACTGAAGAGTGTGTCCTCATGTAAAAATTGCACAGACACAAATTTGATATGAGGTATGTACAGTTAAATCCAGCCAGTCATCACATTTGTTGTTGTCGGGGGAAGGGACTAGAGGAGACTACAAAAGCAAGTATCAGGATACTATTTTTGAAATGGCCTGTAGGGAACAGCTGTTGGTGGGGAATAAAAGTTACAGAGAAGCCCTTTGAGTGGCTAGCAGAGTCAGTCTTCCAGCAGGGGGCGTCCACAGCTCCTTAGCTGTCAGGAACGTCAAATTGAAGACGATTGGGGAGATGGTGCCTCTTGCCACACAAGCATGAGGACTTGAATTGGATCTCCAGAACCCACTTAAAAAAATATCTGGATGTGGTCACACACTTATAATCCTGGTGCTGAAGACACAGAGATAAACAGGTTTGGGGCCCGATGACTACCCAGTTCAGCCTACATGGTGAGTTCCAGGCCAGTGAGAGACCTTGCCTAAAACATTCAGGGTAGAAGACAGTTGAGGAGTAACACACACACACACACACACACACACACACACACACACACACACACACACACACACACACACACACACACACACGGTGCGAGGACAGGGGGTGGGTGGTGGGGTGGGCCTGATTTTTCCAATGCCTCCCGCTGTGCCTGTCTGTTGTGGTGAGCAGAGTAGCAGTAGGAAATCCCCCGACTTCTTTACCCATGCATGAGCATCGGGACCAGGACACATGGGGCTTTGGATTCTATCTAAAGAGGGGGGCTGAAGTTGGAAGGAATAAAGGCAAACCAGGGCTGAAACCTCTTCGTGGTGTTGAATGGGGTCAAACAACAGGAAGAATGAAGACATTCTGAAGTCAGTTTTACTTCATGCTTTGATGACTTTTGAGCATGTTACTCGCCACCTCTGACTTACTCCCCCATCTATAGGAGGGTGGGAACAGCTGCCGCTGAAGGCCATTGGGACTAGGAAATGAAAAAACAGAAGTGCTTTCTCTCTTCACTCCTGTGGGAGGTCTCTGGGCCCTCACCAAGCCTTAATATTATTCTGTTTGTTCCTCCACTCTTGGGCTCCTTGGCTTTCACTCCCAGGTCTAGTGGCCCTGCAATTTCTTTGGCCCTAGAAAGTTTTTTATAACCTTCTTCTCTGAGTTACCAATGTGGTAAGGAAGGGTCATCTAAGTCCTTTAAGTCTATTGGTTGGTTTTTTTTTTTTTTTTTTTTTTTTTTTTGCTCAGAAAGTTCTTACCTCCTCTCTTCACCTCCTAGTCCCCTGACCTGATCCTGGGGTGAACCTAAAGCTGGAGCCCCTATAACAGGTAGGGACGACCCAGGAAGTTAGCACGCAAGGGATTGTGGGGCATCAACATGGGCCTTGCCTGCTCTGCACTACTGCTCATCTTGTTCCTGTCAGGAGGGAGGGTCGAGGTTTGCTCTGAACCCCCAAAACAGCTCTGTCTGAGGCGCCCCCTCACCGGGAAGCCCGTGGTCCCGGCTGCGTTGCATGTTCAGAGCTGCCAGGTCCAGCCCGATCCTTCTCACTTGCTGAAACAGCTTGTCCCGGAGCTCATCCACCATCATGGAATCTTGCCGGTTTAGCTTCGCTGGCGTGGCCATGAGACCTCGGAGGATGGGGTCGATGCCACCTGGTTGGGGGAATGAGAGGTGCTGATTTGACCAACCTCTCAGAAGCTCCTGGGGTCATCCCACGGTGCCAAGCTAGCAGGTGGGAGTCCTTACAGATCCATGGTATACCACTCTGATGTCAGTCTGCCTCCTTAGAAATGCGCCCCATTGGGCCTGGTGATATGGATTATATAGATAGGCTGAGGCAGGAGAGTTGCAAGTTCAAGGCAAGCCCGAGCTACATTTTTATCTTTTTTGGGGGGGCGGGGATGGGAGTTCGAGACACGGTTTCTCTGTAGCTTTGGAGCCTATCCTGAAACTGTAGACCAGGCTGGCCTCGAACTCACAGCAATCTGCCTGTCTCTGCCTTCTGAGTGCTGAGATTAAAGGTATGTGCCACCACTGCCCAGCCTGGGCTACTTTTTTTTTTTTTGAGGCAGGGTTTCTCTGTGGCTTTGGAGGCTGTCCTGGAACTAGCTCTTGTAGACCAGGCTGGTCTCAAACTCACAGAAATCTGCCTGCCTCTGCCTCCCGAGTGCTGGGACTAAAGGCCTGCGCCACCAATGCCCGGGCTACTTTTAATAAAACTCTTATATAAAATTTTTAAAGTAAAAGGGATGGGATATAGCTTCATGGTAGAGCATTTTCCTAGCATGCATAAGGCCCTCGGTTTAATTCCCAGTGAGTGGGGGTGGGCGCTCCCTTGGGACATGAGAGACCCACTGATGGCTGCCTTCTTTCTACTGTCCTGGGGAAGTATTTGCAGAGACCCAACCAGCATTCAGCAGCCCACCTGAGGAACCGGTGTTTGGACCCTCACCCCCCCCCCTTCACCTTTGGGAAGCCCAGTCACCTTCATGAACGACGCGCCAGCTGGCAAAGAACACAGAGCTAAGTGGAACACGGGAGTTGGTTTGTGAGGCCCGATATTGGCTGTCCAAGCGGAACATGAAGGGCTGCAGCATCGTGTGGCCAAATCGGAAGGCCAGGGTGAAAACGTTGGCTACACGTGGGTCCACGTTGGAGCAATACCCTCTGTAGGGTCCCAAGGTTCTTCTGATGCGGGCCTTGCCCAGAACCAGAGGCAGAAAGTCTCGGTAGGTGATGATCTGGAAGAGATGGCACGGGAGGAGTGTGGCCGAAGCAGCCCACAGCCCCGCCCCCCTTGCACAGACTCCTGCTTTTCACAGGG